CAAAAAATGAAAAATTAGACCAGAAATAAGAAATAACTCACAAATTGATGTTTTGATGGTAAATTTGTTTTTGTTTTTTTTGCTTCACACTGAATTGATTATAATGCCATTGCATGGACATTACGCCAAATGCCGTTCCTATTGACAGAGTTTTACCCAAGTCGCTTTCGAAAATCGCTTTGTAGTGTTAAAGTAATACCAGAGAAACTGAAAAGATATAGCATTTGTGACGGAAAAATTGTGAACCTGGAATGTGATCGGTTAGGAGTGTTCAGCAAAACTCGTGAAGAGATATCATCAAATGCGGATAAACAGAATAAGGGTGATCAATGAGAGAAGTCTCAATTTACGCATATCGCTTACAGGATAAAACATCGTGCTACTTATTACATGTTAGAATCGATTGTGTTTAATTGCTATTGTCAAATTTCGATTGTTTTCCATCAATGGAAATATGAAATTTGAATTTCGGGCTATAAACCTTGAATTTACATCAGCAATTCAACAGCGGAGAGCATAAAATTGTTTCAAAATGGAATTGCTCCCATTGTGAACATTTCGGTATCTGTGCAGCTGTTAGCTGACAAAATCTGTGAAGCAAAGAGAAAATTTTATTTTAGTGCTAACAATGATACTGGACGATCTTCAGCAATTCTTCAGTAATAGAATCCAGTTGCTGAAAGTCAAGTGGATGGGACAGAGTAATGCATTGATTGATTCATATCTTTCTCTAGATAAGACCTTGCCTCAGTTGCAGTTCAGGATTAGCAAATCAAGACAATGAATTTGCAATCGACTTTACAAACTCTTCAATGAGTTCTCCGAATTATGCGTTGTGCCAAAAGAACAACTAAGGCAAGAAGTGATGAGATGAACTGCTATTTCAGGTTTGCTCAAATCGTTAACGAATAAAAAGTTCTTACTTGGCACATCAGTGGTATTATTGGCGATCACCACAACGTTGCTATTGATAAGTAATGAGTATGCACGATTAACATGCAACGTTTTGACCACGATCCCAGCAATTCTATTCACATTCCCTCAAATCGGTCATCAAGAAATATCGCAGAGGGTTCAGGTACGTTAATTCTGGTTGTTGAAAACATCCGAATTTAGAATATTTTGCCGGATTCATCTTGTCAACCAAGTGATCAGGTTGAATAGTGCATTTTCTTTGATCTCTATGATCAATGCCCAATGTTCGCCACATATCCCATGTCAGGGACGGAAAATTTCATATGAATTTATGAACACTTGCAAGTTTCGAAAACATATCTGCCGAATAATGAATCCATGCAAATGAAATGTTAACAACGATGTTCAATCGTGATTTACCTGGAAGTTTCTTGAGCATATAAAATTTTCAGAGGAATCTTTTTTGGTAAATGTAAGATCAGGAATGCAACAAACGTTTCTTACAGAGACTAACATTAATCTATTGGATTGTGAATGGTTTCCTAGCGATGAGTGACAGTGTCTTCGATGAAGAGTTCGGATATTTCTTCGCAAAGTTTTTGCTATTGACTTCACTGCTTGTCTACTCAATTCGTATTCATTATCGACAACAACTTCAACGTTTCATACACTCTCAAATGACTCGAGCTGAATCGAAACCACACAAGAGTATCTCCAACGAGTTACTGCTCACAGCGATANAATGATTCCATAATGAGAATTCAATTCAAGATGACAGCAATAGCGAAAAATCCATCCATAGCTACGGCGATTTCTGATGATTGGCAACGTTCTGAAAAGATTGTAACGATTACTTCTGAGAGTCCATCGCGTACGAGTGATCAGGTTTGTGAAATTGATGATGAAATTGTTAGCTTAGCTGGTGATCGTTGAATACAAATGATCCAAAATGATCAAGTAATTGTACGCTTCAGGGTATCAGTGATGATGAAATACCGCTGGCAAGACTAATTCAGGGACTATATGGTGAGGACATCATTGAGACGGGTCGAAAACATTCCAGCGGGTATTCACTCAGTGAAACTGAGCAAACAAAAGCGAGCAGCAAAGAAGCTCATCGGAAATATGTGACGAAATCTGAAATTCATAAATCTGGAGGAGATCAGGTTGGTAGATTATAATCAGTCTGCATGTTGAGGCTGATAGAGGTTAGCTACACGGGTCACTTCATCAGTTCATCTTAAGATGAAATATACGATTCATTCTAATTCAATTTTAGGTGTTTACGAGAGCTAATCTCTCATCAGTATCTCAGATGGATAGTGATCGCAGACGAAAGTATCAGTGATCCATAATTTCAGTTTGTTCAAACTGAATTTCAATTTTGATCTGATGATATAATCTTTATGCGATTAAATAAACCACTTCAAACAAAGCCGTTATCATTTGATGAAGTTTTTTAACGACACAAGAAATCATTCGAGAAACTGAGTTGATGATAAGAGTCATCTGAGTACAATCTTGTGATGCGTTGTGATGAACGACCTGGTTGCTTGAAGTTGATTTCCAAGAGTGATGAAATAAAGAATGAATGAAATACAAGTGCAATATCAGTAATTCTTATGTGTAATTGGTGCTGAAAAAATTTTTTGATACAGGTCATTCAGAGGAGAGTTGCTGATTGCATTGCATGGATAATCCATGTTTCCGTTTTAATGCATTCAAAATTAGTTGTTCCGCAGAATATTCACTTAATTACTTGTAAACTTATCTTCTGCAAGATTTATTGATAATTGCACACGAAAACAGCCGATTCATCAGTCGTCAAGCTTCATCCTCATCAGCCTTCATCAGTTGTCTACTTATTTACTTGTTTTCGGATTAGCTGATATTAGCTTCACTTTTTTTGTCGCCGCTATCGTCGCCATTCGAAAAACATTTCATTAATGATGTGTTTATGCTCATAATTGATCATTAAAGTCATCGCTAAATCAATCCATCCATATTTCCTGATTTCATTCACCTGGATAAGTGGTCAAATTATTGCTTATTCAGACTTGTTATACGATCTGAATCGGAGATCAAATTGCGCATCGCGTTGTCTCGTTGATGAGTTGCTTCAGCGCTACTGAAACACTTTCTTTGACATTAAGGCTTTCGATGATGACATTTCGATGATGTTTGTTCAGATTCAGCTGAATTATGTCGTCTAAAATATGGTAGTACGCTGCAAAAATGTTTTTTCTTTTGAAATTCAGCGGTTAAGCCTCGGAGGATTCGTTGTTACCTCGTAGAGATTGCTCCGCTTTATTGATCTTTAACGTGACAAACTCAATCGAATTTTATGATCATGAGTAAAATGATGCTGTCGATTTTTTTAAATCGGCGACTTTGAAGTAGCTAACACTCGCAAAGTGTTTGGTATCTTCTGAGAAAACAGCTTTCCTTCGTCAGTGAACGAATACGATTTGCATACGGCTCCTAGGTTGGTGTGCTAGCTCATGCGAAGTTCAAAACGTCATGCGAGGAAGTGCGATCACGCTGGTACGTGAACGATGCTGTCAATGTTTGAATAAACATAGATCACCTAGTCTCGGAGATCACTTGTATAAGTGGCATCTTGGCCATAAAGCAATGAAATCCATGTGTGTCAGAGTGATGCTGAATTTAATCTACTCTCGAAAGGATCAGAACAGAATTTCTTCTGCATGCATTTAATATATGTGCCAAGCGGCTGTCATTCAAACATCACTCATAAATGCGATCCTGAATTTTATTTCATTAATAGAATTTTCTGGATGGTTGTTTTTATGATGCGTTTTTCAGAATCGTATTGTGTTCTGGCGGTTATTTCGGTGAATATGCGCAATTTTGATTGATTGCCATCACATTATTTTGGCACACAATTCACCCTCGAAACAAATCCACGCCTTGAATTGAAATCAACATTCTTCAATTTCTTTATATTGTGCTCGAGTCTAAGGAGCCGGTGCCAGTAGCTTACAGTCAATGAGATCGTTATAAAATGCGGTGAATGAATTTGATCTCATTGTAAGTTGGTGTTTTGATCTCACTCGAAAACTTTTATGCTAGATTTGATATATCCTTTTTTTCTGAAGCACGAGAATGAAGCTTCAGGAAAAAAGTTTATCTATAGCGAATTCAAATGGCTGCTCTCATAACTCAATTAGTGCTTCTGCAATTGGAAGGTGGTGTAGCCAAAGGGCAGGAAAAAACAGCGAATAGAGAATGTAATTTTGGCGAGCATGAATGTAGATTTCAAAGTGTGAAGTTCAAATTAAGTTTAGCCTATTCCGTGATTGGTTTTCGTTTAAGTGCACTATTAATTTTATATGAGATACTCACTTGTCTGCGTAATTGAAAATTTTCTCAACAGTTGTCATTTTACTTTGCAGCTGTGCATATTAGAAGAATATTTAAGTTGTAGCCTGGATGGTGGATAAAACACGTAAACATTTCCTCTCAACTGAACATACGGTGACAAATCATCGCAGGTTTATGAGAGCAATTCGTGCAATTTTCTTAATTAATAACTCCTTTTGTGTGTGTGCGTGATACTGCATATTTGCTCGTATTGTTCCATATCCGAATGAAACGTGATAAACAAGAAAGCGAATTTTATTCAACATTCACATATCGTCCCGCCGTACCGATCGGTCGAACACATGGGCACGCCAATGAAAGCTTATGGACCGCTGATGATGGATAAGATGAGGGTGAAACCCGAGAGTTTCAACTTAGGATAGTCATCTCTAAGTTTTTCTTTCATGATTTCTTGTTTCATACGAGGAAGTCACACTATATGTGACATTCTGAAAAAGATCTGATATTGTGAACGGTCATTAGAATGTTGTTGACGATGCTGAATGACATAAAATTTTGTTTTTCACTCCGATCGCTCTTATTCTCTGAGATTCTGTATTTCCTTGCGGAATTTCAGCAATAATTTCTATCATTTAGCACTGTCTTCTCATCGAATGTCAACATTCTTATCTTATCAACTCATTCTGATGTTCCTCTGAAGCGAAGCGACGTTATTTGCTCTATTGATACGCTCAGAAATGTCAAAACTTGATGAGCCGATTCTCCCTCACATCCTTAAAAAGGAGATTGTGAGGTTCACATGGACTGTTCGGAACAAAGTTCTTACGTTTAAACATTCGCTGCAAAACATTCGAACTCTTTCAACGAATTTATCACTTTCAGATGGCATCTCTCAGCAATATCACTGTGCTATGTGCGCTGGTCTTTGCCGTTTCACTGATGTATACTTCGACTGCCGAAGTCGTCGAAAAC